AGAGTCATTTATTATTATCTGGCTGGAGGAGTTGTCCGACTTACAGCTTAACAAGAGTTTATATATGTGTCTGACTTGTCAAGAAATTTTAAATATAGAAAAAAAGGGCTGGAAATTTTTGTCTGAGTTAGGCCAAAACTGACTTATCGAGTGTCCGACTTATCAAGTTTATCTATGTATTAATATTAATATATTATATAGGTGATGAATTATTTTTTTACTTAGTAGACCAAAGGTTCATCTATCCAGCATATTGTTGAATCCCTCTAGTAAAAATCAAAATACCATTGTTCACAACATGCAGCAAATCATCATTTATAGAATTTTTTGAAAAATCATATTTTATAAAAAAATATATAAAAAAGAACATTGAATTGTTAAAGCAAAAATACAAATTTGATGATGACAATAGTGAAGGAAAACCGGAAGAACAAGAAGGATCAACTGAAAAATATACAATAGAAGGACAAAATTTAGAAATGTATCATGTTACTAGTCATTTTAGCACACAACTCCAATTCATTCATCCAGATCTTGTTCTAGATCTAGAACTAGAAACCTTGATTGGATTTAATTATCTATATATTAATTGATTTAATATTATATGAAAATTGTAATTTTAAAAATAAACATTTATTATAATAGTTGCTTAATTAATTATCCTGAACATTTTTAATGTTTATCATTTACTACCATGTGAGATTGCAGAATTGAACCCATAAACTAAGGAAAAATGTAAACCCTGAATTGTTGCACAAAGAATAGTAAATTAGAACATTAAAAGATCCCATGATGTATTGAAAGTAGATAGAAAGATATGAGGAAATTATATTTATATTGTTTATTTGGTTATTTTATTTATAAAAAAAGCCATCTCCGTTACATACTTTTAAAAAACATATTGATACAGTGAATAAAGTAAGCTGGTCGCCTCATATCAAATCATTATTTGCAAGTTGTTCAGATGATAAATCCGTCATCATATGGAATTCAGTAGTAGGTATTTTTTATTTAATCCTCTTTCAGCTTCAAAAATTGGTATTATTATTAATCTCAATGTCGATTTATTTAGAATATTAAAGAAGATAATGGAATACATTTTACACATAATTTACATCGGTAAATTAACAAGTTCTTTTTTAAAATAGTAAATTTCATTTTGAATAAAAATATTAATTATTTATTATTAGGTCTAAAGTTGTTGATTTTGCATGGCATCCCAATCCGGATTATGATCGGACGATTGCATCAATATCTTCTGGTTCAGAAACGACTTCAGGATTATTACAAGGTAAACATTCAATATACACATGATTTGTTTTAATTAATAATTATGATTATAATAATATACTATTACTATTAGTGTGGAGCCCAGATTATTCCATTATACCAGCTAATTCAGATAAAATGTATCGATGAGATTGAATTTGTAAGATGATTGAAAATAATGTTAACAAGTTCGAAAAAAAAATTTATATAATTATATAATAACCAGAAAAGGAATAAATACAAACCGAGTAGAAGAATGTATCTGAACCTTGTTTTGGGTTATCATACAAAATATATAAAAAATATAACAAGTTTATATTATTTTATTTGATCAAATCCAAATTCTGATAATTTATTTTTTGTCTTTTTATTTCTATTTCGATTGTATATTAATACATTTGCCAAGTTTACATTTCTTTGTGCTTGAACATTATGAGCATGGAATTATTTTCCTTTAAGGACAATTCACATCTTCCAACAACAAACCCCCAATTTGACACGATATTTACATCTAGCTCTATTTTGCTTATAACCATTAATTTTTACCCAATTTAATAAAATCTATTAATTTCATTGCATGATTTGAAAAAAAATGCGCATGCACATCTCTAAATGAATAGATAAACGGAATTCATGCATTTCAGGAAATAATAAAAGAGAAAAATAATAATCATGTTTTCAAGAGCAAAAGTATATAAATTTTTTATTATAAAGATTTTTCACATCACTGAAATTTTTTACAAATCCACTATATAAAAATTTAAATGAGATCGGGACACTCTCGAATTTTATCTCATGCAAATATGTTTTGTAGATGTCCTTTCTAATTCGCCTTCCAAAAAGATTTTCAACTCTTGAAACTTTTGAAAGAAAATTTCATCAATTTCATTGGACCTGTCTGAAGTTATTTTTCGTTTTCCCCTCTCTGAAATGTCAACTTTGTCTGTTTTAATTGGCTTCTCATCCACTTTAAGATATTAGCAAGATATATCAAGTCATTATTTCTGATAAAGCAATAGCCCATTCTATTCACGATTACATCGTAATATTTACTTGAATATACAGGAGTGCCAGCGAACTCGAATAAAATTTGAGAACCTTGAATTGCCAATGCAAAATCTATCAACATTTGTTATCAGAATGAGTTACCATAGCTATGTTCTCCGGGCGGATATCCCTATGATAGATATCTATATGAAGATTAGAAAAAAATTATACGTCAGTTTCAGAGCTGTACGTTTATAAGCCTAGTTTGTGAATAAAGCTAACCATAAAACATTTGGTTTTGTTATAACATAGCCTGTTAGTGGAATGCCATGTGGGGGACATTGTCAATATGCCGTTGTCACAATAATCATCAATTATATGGTGCAAGTCACCTAGTCCCGCAACTTGCTGCGCCTCGTGGCCAATTTTGGGAAAATCACCAAAACTCA